CTGCTCTTATTGCTGCAGACAGTTTTAGAAGGAGACTTTTAACATCAACACTCTGATTAGCATAATGAAAGAAGATTGCTCTCACTGCCAATAAATGCACTAAATTAGGAGAAAAGCAATGATGGGACACAGGATGTGGAAGAGGGGGAGACAGAGGAAAGAAAGAATATGGTTAATGGTAAAAACTACGGTGTATCATGGTTTTGGTTGGTTTTTTAAAATTATTTTATCATCTTCCTTTCGCCTCCCAAATTTTTAGAGCACAAAGAGCAGTTCCAACATTTTAAGTTCTTTGCATCACCTTTATCCTTTAAAAATCCACCTTCGCAATACTGGGGGGATCATGGATTTGTAGAAACTGATCCCCCTCTTCCCAGATGCTGTTCACATCTAAATGATAGATACTACTTAACACTGAAATCAGTCTTTGCAGGTGAAACTATTTATTGTTTCCCACATGGCTTGCCCCCAGTCATTCTTTTGTTTTCTCTCTTTTGTGAAAAAGGTTTTATTTCTATTATAAATAAAAAGGTGGGTTGCCTAAGTAACTGCCATTTACATGTAATAAGGAAACAGTAAAATGAATTTATACAGAAACAGCAAATAGAAATTATTCTGACAATCTCCAGTCACCTGCTGCTTACTTCAATCATAAGCCTCAAAATACAACAAGCAAAATGAATATCAAGAATATTCTTGGGTATAGTAACAGATTTCTATTATTCAACAGAGTAAAGTAAAAATTACAATCTATTGTGGTAAAACAGAAGAGTACAATACATTTGGCTTAGAAAAAGAGTGAATAAAAAAAAAACATGCAGAGGATATAAAACTTTAAAAGCCTTCTTAAAGTATATCAAAAGCATAAGTTACATGGACCCAAGAGATGACCAGATTTTAGAATGAGCAAATGCAGAAGGTAACGTTAAAACAAGATTGAATTTATTTTGCATTCATACTCACTCCAAGGAAGCACACAATATCCCAAATACCAATTAATGAATAATCATGGAAGGAACAGAAAACATAACAGAAGGCACCACTATGTCACTAAGCTTCCATATACTGTGCACTTCTGGATCTAGTGGCTCAAAAATGCTCTAAGTGGAAAGGAAACAGTACAGAAGAACAAGGGTGATCAGAGGAATAAAACTGATCCCTGAACAACAAAACCAAAATCCTCCTGTAAAAGTACTGAGAATAAGAAAAGAACTTGTTTCAGTTCAAGAAACCAAGGACAACAAATGAAACTACCAGCAAGGAAAAGGAATATCCCCTTTTCCAAAAAACTAAACTTAAGTAGAGAACGCCTTTTGTTGTTGGTGCTAAAAAGGATGTTGTAGGTACTAAAAGTTCAAATGGCTCCAGTATATAACAGAACAGGTTAGATCAAGTTCCTCCTGTTTTATACTGAGTACCTGAGAAGGCAATCAGCATAAAAGCATTATTCTGGGCTGGGAAGGAGCTGGGCTGCAGATGGACAGATACTAGGAACACTTGTGCAAACCTGTCTCCTATGTGCTTATGGTTTTCTTCAGACATCTGCTTTCAGCCAGTGCTGGAGAAAGCCTTCAAGAACAGATCATCCTTCAGACTGGTCCAGCACAGACATTACCATGTCAATCTCTTTCATTAGTTTATGTGTTTTTCAGTCATCTCTAAAAGCATTTAAATGACCAAGAGACACAGAGAAAACAATCTATTGCATCCTCAAAATATTAACCTTGAGGCAGCGGGCCAAGCCAACATCAAGCACTGAAGTCAAATCCCACGTAGCCAATTAGTACTATTGGAGATACTTCTAATGACACAAACTACAATATTAGCTAAGCACAGCTTCTGACAGTATAAATATTGAATGGTACACTTCATACCACTGTGCACATATCCTGACATTCAGTCAGGTCCACACTTTCTGATAAGGACCAAAGACAAAACATAAACACAAATATTAGGGCCTGCAGGCTAATGGTTGGTCTAAACAACTTTTCACCTAACACCTCTGTATTATCTTTTATCTTGGTTCATGAGCTGTCTAACACCAATGAGAGGTACAGAAGATACAGTTTTAAAGAGTAAAAATAACACAATCTGGTCTGAATAACTAACATCCTAGAAGCCTGTTCTTAAACATCTCCCATGGCAGAGGTCCTGCATTCTGTCTGGGCATCCTAAAAGGCTAAGACTGAAACACACTCTTCCCTGATTTGCATAGTGTCTCCCTTACTGCATTTAATCTCTCTTTCAAAAGGTTAAATTAGACCCCAAAATACATCTCATGGCAGGAAATTGTTGTCCTAGCTATGAATGAAATATAAAGCATCGTTTATCACTTTCATTCTTAGATTGCAGGATATTGGCTTTGTATGTTCACTAAAATATCAAGTTGTTTTTTTTTTTCAGCCCTCTAAGTAGTGATTTAACACATTTAAATACCTTTCAGCTTTACAAAAATCAAGAACACTTTTCATATTCACTCTGGAATTCAAGCCACTCTTAAGTCAATTATTTTCATTTTCTATTGCAGAAATTCAAGCCACAAATACTGAGGTAACCAGCAGGAAAAAGGTCCAGAGCAGAATAACACTTCAATACTCCAAGGAAATTCCTACAATGCAGTACCTGTAATATTTTCTCCCTTAACAGGAGCAGTCAATGTTAGTGTGATGTAATGAAGAATCCTGACAACATCATGATATTTCTGAATTCAAATGACTTGATTATACTCTTCTTGAAGCTATTATTTAAATCTTAATAAAGGATTGTCATTGCAACTCCTTAACAGCGATCAAATAGCAGTGAGAAACCTAACCTGAGAGCAAAAAATATTTCATCCAGATATGCAAATTCAACACGTGTGTATAACACATACAAACAGAAAACATTTAAAAAAATAAAAATAACAACACAAAGCAAAATAGAAATAACAAATTATTTATGCTCAGAATTCGGAAAAAATGAATACACAATTTCAATAAAACTGCAGTTAACTTTGGCCTCACTTTTGGAAACAAAAATAAAAATCACTCCAGCCTGCACCTCTCTGCACTCAGTTTCTATTACATGTCCAAAATTCTCAATTATAATTATAAGTCTGTAAGAACCTTGCTTCAGATTTTATTAATGCCTGGAGTGTTTTTGTTTCTCATTTCAAAGCAACAGTATCCTAACCGGATACGTATTTCAAGTCTGAATTTTGTTTGGTTTATTTCTTGAAGAACTGGATTACATAACCAGCTTTACTCATTGTCAAATAACCTTGAGCTCTATCAAGCACTAGAGTCAGGCAGGAAAAAATTCTGGATGTCTTACCTCAAAATATCGCTGGCTTTCCAGCAGTGAAATTGGAGTAGACTAAACAATTTAATAATATTCTTTCCAGAAGATGAAATTGGACTCAGTAATCTAAACTGTCACAAAACCATGTTTTAAAAATTCTATGCAACTTATTTACACAGCCCCTCTTGTGTATCACAGAATGGGTCAGGTTGGAAGGGACCACAGTGGATCATCTGGTCCAATCTCCCTGCTCAAGCAAGGTCAGAGCACATGGCACAGGATTGTGTCCAGACAGCTCTGGAATACCTCCTGTGAGGGAGACTCTGCAACTTCTCTGGGCAATCTGTTCCAGTGTCACCCCCACAGTAAAGAAACAGTTAGCTTAAATGTAATAACACATCTCATTCATGATCTCTCAAGACAAGGTCAACCTTCTGAAGAAGCTGAGAAAGACACTTTAGAGATTAGGAGCACAGAAACATTAAGACTAAGGTCAGTGTGGTCCCTATTAGATGACTTCTGATCCAATGTCCATCATCCTCAGCTGACTTTCCCCTTTCCTCTCACTGCAGATAATTTTGGACAGTACAGCTACACACAGTTACTCCTTTGCTGAAATCTGCCAGAATGGGCTAAACACGATTCCAGGTACTATGACCCCTGGCAGCAACTTCACACAGGCAGGTGAGAACAAGGATGCAGAGGTACCCTTAGCAACCCTCAAGTTACATTTTCCTACTTCCAAGAACTATACAGTTCTTGATCTGCTAGCAAAAGACTGAAAAAATAATGGGGATGGAAAGGCCAGGAAACATTACTGATTTCTTGCCCTCTTGCTTCTGTTCCTTTCCTATTTCCAACTGAGTGTTCTGTGACACCAATCTATTTGTCCCTTACTCACCTAACACCAGCTATGAAAATTCTCACTGAGAACAAATCATACTGGTTAATAAAGAAATTAATTAAAATATTATTCCCCTCCTTCAAAACCTCCCTTCCTGACATTTTTTAATGGGATGAGGATAGAAAAGCTCAAACAGTTTGACAGAAAAGCCTTACACTACAGAAACCTGACAAGCAGTTCCAGAGGAGCAAAGGGATTACACTGAGGGATATCCCTCTTCATGCTATTTCCCTTCTTTCTAAGGTAGAGAGTTATTCATTATAAAGCAGCCATTAGTTAAAGAGACACTATCACCTGATCAACAAACATCCCTAAAGGCAAGAGGATGACACAGCTTTTGGAATAGGCAGCTGCAAGACAGAATTTTGTGAGTATGAAAGAAGAAATATTAAATATATAGTTTAGACCTACAATCATCACAGCAGCAAAGACTACTTTACTTAGCAGTTAGCATAACAAAAAGTGCTACAGCAGCCAATATATCAGTATCACTAAACAGGAGCATGTTTCTATCAATAATACAAACAGCAAATCTCGTTCAAGATTCTTTACAAGCACACAAAAATTAGAGGTCATCAGAAGTCCTGCTAACACTATTAAATAAATCATGTTCCCAGAGATACTATGAGCAAGCTAAAATTGTTTCCCAGCAATTTCTATTACCTTTAAGCTACATAAAGAAAACCAACAACATTTCATCCTCGTCTGCTACTCACAAATCAAATCTTCAGTCTTATCTGCATACAGCCAGCTGGTTTTTAAAATTCTGCTGTAATTGAGGAGAAAAACAATTAAGCAATATTATTAGTCATCTTACCATTGTTCCCTGGTGGTTGTAATGCATCTCCTGTCAAGCTACACCATCCGACTGGGAAAATATCTCGAGAATCACATCTGCACCAATAGTCAAATGCTCCTCTCCAACCATCAAACGTAACAAAAACTTCATCTCCTTTAACATCTCCAATGGTTGCTGGGCAAATCAGGTATGGGTTCTTTCTATCTATAGCTTCAAGTTTCATTCCAACTTTAAAGCAGTTTGGCACAGGTTTTGGTGGTTCCTACAAAAATAAGCATGGTAGAATATTTGTATTTCTATGACCTCCTGAAAAAAAAAGCAAAACTAAGTAACAGCCCTTTTTTTTCCTCAATGTTCTTACTACTCACAGTCACTACTCTCAGGAAGTTCTAGAAACACATTCAAGGAAACTTAGTCGTGTTTCAAATTTGCCTTTGCTCTTCTGCACTACAAAAATCTTCATTCTATTCCCACAAAACACAGCTGGGATAATTAGCAAAATTCTCCATGACAGAAAGACCCTGATAAAAGTATTTACATAAGCAATAGGTTGCAACCAATACATTATGTCTGGGCAGGAAGACAGCCAAGACACTAAAATGAAATTATTACATGCTAATAAAGAAGAGGTTTGCAGAGCATGGATATTTCTGGGGACTGATAACTGTCTGGTAAAAGCTTTACCTCTCAATTAATCCATGAAAAATTCATTAGCATTGGACATTATTTATAGGCCTCTGTTAACTCACTTGGCCTTAGACCAATTCCAAGTGGACAAAAGAAAAACAAAAATCAAGTGAATGTGACTGGTATACGTGTACTTCCACAGCAGGAGTTGTGATCTGAGAGAACACAAATTACCACCTCAGCCTCAAGAACCTTATTATCCAAGCCCATCTCAGATGTGCTGCAGGCTAGCACAGAGAAGCATGGCTCATCATGCCTCAGAAAATTTATATTATCTTATCTAAAAAAATTATAATTATATGAAGTTAACACCAAGTGATGTGATTGCAGGCCTAAACCCAACTGTTTGATTTGCTGACATACTTCTCAGTATCACCCTCGGTATGCAAAAAAGAACACACTCAGTATGACAACAGGGATTTATCACCTCAACAAAAAACTGAACCAAGTAATTTTAATATTACTGTTATTCTTATATAATTTTCCATATTTCACAGTAACTTACTCAAGAGTCATGTTTAAAAAACTGAATGGCTTTTTCTGCTATTTTCAACTACTTTCTAACTACATTTTAAGTGATGAGTGTGTACCCAATGAAAATGTTTAACAAAACCCTTTCAAGCACCACTGTATTCCAATGGGTCTCATTCCCCATTAACTTTTTTTACTCCTGTGCACATTCACATGACTACAGTGCTGTTAAGAAATTTGATAGGCATTTTATCTAAAATCCATAATACAAAAAAGAAGCAAACACAATTTTTCTAAGTAACACACCACTCTTTGAAGTCTCAGCTCAGGAAAAGAAACAGCCCTCTCTATGGACTAGAAGCAGATTCCTTTCTGTCTACTTCCATAGCACGTCAATCCAGTTCAAAGTAATTTTAAATAATAGTCTTGCCTTCCCCATCTTTGCTGCAGACAACAGAGTAATATCTTAGCATCCTCATTAAAGAATGTAACCATGGACCAATTGACAGGAATTGTTTACTAGAAAAGCCTTTCTTCTTACCTTCTTAAAGAATGCTGCAGGTGCCATTTCAGCTCCATTGAGAGTTCTTAAGAGAAACATTGGCCAAGAGGATGCATTCATCTGGAACCCTGAGGACAAACAAAAAACTAAACAAACAGCCCTACTTTCAGTTTGTAAAATACAATAGGAGAAAAAGTCTGTTTCACTAATGTCTCATTCCCTCTATTTCAGACTTGGCCAAAATAGAAGCAGCTAAGAAGAAATGAACATGTCACTGTCGCTGCAGAAAGCTGTGCAATTCCTTTCCATTCTGAGTGACTTGCCTGCAAAATCACTCATCATAATGTCAGGTATTACAGATTAATTTCTAGGATTTCATGAAATGCAAGTCCTAGTACAGGAGACCATTAGGTTGTCCAGCACAGTCTCTGGTCCAGTGGAACTTCCCTGGCACAAGCACCTAGCTTTCTCTTCAGGTTCTAGCTCATTTATTGAGAAGACACTTTTTTATTTTTGAGAGTCTTGTTATTCTTTCACCAAACCACAGACAAAAAAACAGTGCAACTGGTTTTTCTCCCTCTCTCATTAAAAGAAATAGTAACCATAAAAACAAAGCATACCTAAGACTGAGAAAAAAAAATTTGTAATAAATCATGTATCATATTGAAAAGGATAAACCAGATGGTCTTTTTATTTCATTATTCTTCATTAACAAGTGAATAAAAATCATAAACAACAATCAAATTTATTTAGATTAACTACCTTATTCAAACAGAACAAAGGTTTGGCTGAAAACCTTATTCCAGATACTCTTCCCTCACAATCAACCACTTTCCAGTTAAAAGATAAAACAAAACAAACAAAAAATACTTTTGCTTTCTTTGCTTTCCAAATGAATGTTTTAAAGTAATGAGTAAGATAACAGACACACTGGACATTTTTTTCTGCTTCTTTAGCAGTTAGATGTCTGGAACAGTTCTGCAGAGAAAGAGACATAATACAGCAAACTGGAATTTTTTCCACAAAGCAAATAGTATCATAATCTGCCAAGAGCTCATGAGTTCCCTCATAACTGATCTTTAAGAATTGTCTTAAAAATCTGTAACTAGAAAGGTGGACCATATCTGCAATTCTTCATCAGTTAAATAATCCACTCATTTAAAATTTGATTATATGCTATAATGGCTCTTGAGCTCATAGTTTTAAGCTATCTTCAGTAGAATAAACAGTTTTCAAGCTAGAACCATCTATTCAACACCTAAATTAATGCAGAGCTCCTATATGATAAATGGTGTCATAATTCAGGGAACACTGAGCTGATTGTCAGGCCTGGTTTCATACCAGAGTCTTCATAAAACCTGAACATGTGTGGTTACTGAAACACAACATTCCCAACTCAACAGCTCAGCAAATATATACAAGCAAGACAGAGGAGTGACAACTAAACAACAGTTTCAATTAACTTCGTTTGGCCTTTTAAGTTGTCCTGGTAAAACAGAAAATGCTATCTGCAACGTAATTTGCTCAGAAGATTAAGCTCTCAACAACAAAAAGCTATGGAAAAGCCATGGAAAACAAAGGCAGGAACAGGAACACTTTGCTGCAGTAATTACTTTCTCAAAACCCTTATGTAATATGCATAATTAAAGCCATGTAAAAATCAGGTAGGAGGGACTATTTTAGTTAGTTATTATGATAGAAGTGGAACATTAGGTATCCAGAAGGTTCCCTACTACTAAGGAAAAAAAAACTCGTTGGTTAAATGTCTAACAGGAGGTAATTATACACCCAATTAGCTCCCAGCTTTACCCAGGAACAGGATGTTGTAAAACTGCCAAAAAGGCTTTTCAAAAATTTATCTAGGTATGCCAGAATGTTTGATTGCTGGAATTCAGCCTATCTCTAGAAAAATCTAGGGCAGGAGGGCCAAAATAGTGGCACTCACATTCTTTTCTGAATAATCAGCAATTGTTCAGAGGGCAGGTAAACTAATATGCCTGAATGCAGGGAAACAGCTGCCTGTTAGGTACTGCACTGCAGGCAGCCTGACCACATAAGAGTAAGAAACAGAATCTGAGGAGAAGGCATCAAGCCTTCTCCTGATGGTCATGGAAAGTTTCTCCTCTTAACGAAATGACTGCCCCTATCATACATACATAAACAGAGTTGTTTCCTTCATCACTCTGGATTAGAAACACATTTTAAAAACTGTTGTGTTCCTGAAGACGTATTTTTTAAACACTGTACATGTGTACAGCTGAAGGAACCTCCATACTCTTCCATTTTTTATATTGGTATCACTTCATTCATTCTAGAAGGTTATATCAAGAACTTCAGAGAGGTTAAACAGAGAAACTTCTTGGAAAAAAAAAAATTTAAAAAACAACTTTTTCCCTGATGTCAGGAATTTCTATTGTATCCAAAGCCTCTATATATCCATTGAAAGAAGGGGGAAAAAAGCCCTTCTGTGCTCTAACTGTATCTATCATAAGCAATATTTTTCTAGACTGGCACCCTAGTCGTATTAATTTTCTTGTGCTTCTGAAGGACTACAATAGCACAAAAATCTGCCCTTATAATCTATGTGAAGTGTCTTAAACTGTTCCTGTGCCTGTGTCTCTACAAGCAAATCAAGATTCATACTGTAGTGAAATTCTATTTTTTACTTCATCTTTCAAACAGAAAATCTGGAAGTTGCTTCCGAAGCAGGATGGGAAGCTTTTTGAGAGGCTACTGAGAGAAAGAATACCTATCCTTGCTAAACCTCCAATAAGAATTCTCTAAGAATTACTGATGGCACCAAACAAGCATAAGGCAGAAAAACAGCAGCAACCAATTTCTGTATACAAGTACTTTTTTTATTATTTTAGAGTTTATTATTCCCATTATTTCTTGCATCTTCTAAAAATTAACAGAAGATGAGAAGACAAAAGGGGAGAGAGTGTTTGGGTAAATTTTGGTCATTATTCTTCCTCTTTTTTAAAAGCAAAACTATTTGTAGATCATTGTGAAATCTTTAAATATTTCCATACATAGAAGTTTAAGCTGTTGACAAATACAATATAATAATGCAGACCTAAATATACAAGTTAATCACAGCAAAGAAAGGCAATGTCACATTTTATTACCTCTAGCACTTTAGTCAAAGTTACCTCTGACCATTCACCAGGTAACAAGGAATTGCTTTGTAGAATTCCCTAGTTAATAAACTTCTTCAGTAAATCTAAACCCAAGCATTATTTCTCAGTTTGGGGAGACACCATGTTGTCACTCATATGCTCATACAAGGCAAAAGAAGTTCTGCATGGTATTTCTAAGCCTAAGAAAGCTGCACCTTGTTCACAAGCATTTGCTGTGCTCACAGACCAGCCATGAGAAACTGATCTGACGTTCCTGAACACATGTTGATTTGAGGCAATGAGAATATCATGCAGCCTAAGCCTGCAGTTTGCTAAAGCTCTGGAGTGCTGCTTTTACTACCTCAGAGTAAAAATTCAGAGCAGAATGCTGCAATTCTGCACTAACCCACCTTATGCTGCCTGTCCTAGAACACAATCAATTTGCTCGGTGCCCAAGGAAACATCCTGACTGCCCTGCAGGGGCGTGCTTTCAGCAGCCCTGCTGAAGCTTCGCAGGCCTGCAGCAGCCAGTGCCCTCTGGTGAGCTGCTTGGATGCACTGAGCAAGAGTAAAGGTGCAATTTGGCTTTCTCCAGTTCTTTCCAAGTGCTCCCAAAAGGAGCATGCATGGCATCATGCAACAAAGCACTGTATACACACACATAAGGCAGGCTGTGTGTGAGGGAACATTTACAGAATAAGTAGATTTAATATACAGGGCCTATTAAGAAAAAAAAACAACAAACAAAACTGCCATTCTTATGTCAGAAGAATGAAAAAATAAGAAAAAGACACAATTTACGTAGCCAGAATTAGTTTACTTACCTCTTTTTCAGTTAAATAATGGTTTGGTGAGCTATTTCTACCATTGAATTTGCCAAGAGGAAAAGGTGAATTTGACTTTCTCAAAGCAATACCCCCCACACATTTGCTCAGCAGCTTTGTTACTTACCAAGGGGAGGCTGGAGCATGCCCCCTTTCTTTTCACAGGTCCCGATGGGCTGTATGTCTGAGGAATCCACAAGCCTCCAGAAGTCATTTTTGTTGTCACTTCCATCGAGCCGCAAGCGCAGCCTGGCACCAGTGATCCCAATGACGGTAGCGATACAAACTGAGGTGACATTGCGAGGGTCGTGGGCTTCCAGTTTCATGCCAACTTTGAAATCGTTCGTAGGCGGAATTCTAGACTGCAATAAAAGGTGCAAGACTTTTTCTTATAGTTGTTAATACTGCTGAATTTACCAGCCAGTTCAATAGACAGCTTTATTTTCTCTGAACTCGGCATAAAAATGATAAATATGAAGAAGTTTTTAAACTTTTGAGTGTCTAGCAGCAAGTCAGAAAAGGCGACTGGATAACCTACCAACTGCATAAGCATAATTGATTCCTAAAAAGACAAGGATGCTAAGTAGGGCAACAAGGGAATCTTTATGAAGATATAAACACAAGAGTGAAGTGAATGGAATACGAGGACATTAGGAAACATGACATTCAACAACAAAAAAACCAAAAAACCAAAACACAAACCAACACACACATTCGACATAAAAAACCCAAAAAAACCAAAAACCAAAACACAAACCAACACACATTCAAAAAAAAAAAAATCCCAACCACAAGGTTTATTAGCTTCCAATTCAAAAGAAATAAATATCCTCATTGAAATAACATTTTGGAAATCTAAACAAAATTTGGAGCCTTCTGTATCAAAAAAAAAGCTTACATTACAAAAAAAAAGACAGAAAAAGGAGTTAGAGTTAACATTTTTAAGAAAGAAAACAGTCCTAAACACGCATAAAACTTCCGTGCTAAGACAAAAACTGTAGCCTGTACTTATTCATAGAGAACTGAATATAATCACAAACATACATACGATGCCAATTTAATTAGCACAGGGAAAAGAAATGTGACAAATGAAATTTGGTTGTTAGGAAGAACTTTTTGTCACATGCTAAACTTGAACAAAAGAGGGTATTTTTTACTCATGTATCAACACACTACAGGCAGAGATTGACTGGATTGAAGTCTGATTACTTGCCTTCTGTCATATTGCAGGCAAATGACATGTAATGATGTTTAAAACTTTGTATTAACACTAACTGGGATGGAATGCCTCTCACTATTATTCTCTTTACTTGTCTCCTCATTTGCAGCCTAAATTTTATTGATGGAATTTTTGGCCATCAATTAATCATTTTTATTTTTTTTTTAGCAAATAAAACCAAAAGCTACAACTGACCCTTTCTCAGTATGTTTTAAACAATGTAAATAAGTCAAGCACTGAAATTTCTCTTAGGAGATGATGAGTTTTCCTATCATCCTGGAAACTCTTTTCTGCAACTCTTCAGTACAAAGTTGTTTTTGAATACAGCCACCTTGCCGATGACATTTAAACCCAGTAGCTATCCCATCCAGACTAACACAGTCTGACTTCTAATATAGGAGGAATGTTAGAATACCCCAAACCATAGGCATTCACACTCACAGGACTCCTATGTCCCCTTGTGCCTGCCTGACCAGGTCAGGGGGGCATCCCACAGCAGGCAGCCAAGTGCACTTACCTGTCTGAGGACACAGGAAAAGACAGGAGAAATCTGCTCCTGCAACAAGTCTTAGTGATATTTTTTCTCCACCACATTTAAATGTCTAAAATACATCTTGCTCTGCTTTCTCTATTGTGCAGGTGCACTACTTACAACACACCCTGGATCCACAGCAGGAGCCCTCAAGGTGCCTGAGCCCAAAAGCCAAGAAGGTGAGTAAAATTCAGTGAGCATCTGCCAGTGCTGAACTCTGACAGCAGGCTGGCTGAAAGGGGAGCCCAAGCATATTAAATTTAAAGGGCAATTCAATTTCAGGATATTGCTTGTCAAGCTGTTATTTTGTACAACCAGGAAAAGCAACAGAAATTGAGAAAATGGGGAGTTTGTTTCTTTGTTTGTGGAAAAGGTGAGCTTGTTTAAATACCAACAACTCAAGACAACAACTCATTCTACTAAAAAGGTAAGTCCTGCATGCTAGTTTGTCTTCAAATAAAATAAAAGAAAAACTCACTCAGTAACAGCTTTGCTTTAAGTTCTGCTCAAACCACAAGGGACTGAGCTTTTACATTTAAAATTTTCAACTGCTTGGGAAAAAGTTTTAGGGCAAGAAAAAGGAATATGAAGTGCATTGAAATTTTAAGTAGTTATTAAAAACAAAGCAACAGATAAAATACCTTCTAAATTAAGATAAATACTTTAATCAATTTCCATTATCTGTCTGTGTCCTAATTAATGGTAGAGGCTTTAATTTATTGTTCCCCAGGTAATTTTTACTTACTACAAAATTTAAACTTTTAAAATTCCCACAGGTCACAAATTCTGGATGTAATTGTCAAATTAATTTTCTAGCTGCCACAGCTAGAAAACTTTATTTTCTGGCTGGCCACAGCAGTGTATTTCTTTGCATTACACAGAGTAATAATGACATGTAGAATTCATATGTAACCCCATAAAATTCAAATTAGTCCTAGGCAAAGCACAAGCACTTCAGTTTCTAAAATCTACAAACATTATGTAGTGAGAGGATCTAGCTCTGCACCTATCACCACTGCATGTCATTTTCTACCTAAAGATTGACTCTTAGAAAAAATGAAAATCTGCACAAGCAAATTGTTTTGAAATTTGCTGTGCACATAAATTAAAGCTCTTCTTTTCAACTCACAGACTCCTTAAGCAATCTAGGTCACTTGGATTTATCTCTGTCAATGCATGTCACCTAAGCACCTCTATGCAAGGCATTATTTGTTTCTCAGTTCAGACTTCATGAGCATTACTAGGGACAGAAAGATGCAAGAAAGGCACATGGAAAGGCTTTTGAGCAGCTTTCTGCAGTAGTTATATTCCTTGGGAGCATACTCTGGTCATGGTGGTTTATGGTCTCTGAGTATGGCATTAACCTTAGAAAGATCCAGGGACAACACACCACCCTCTGCCTCTACCCAGGAGGAGTTTGAGGTGTCTGCCTTGTGAAAAGCACACACTGTGAAATTAATTTCTGCAGCTCCACTCAGAGCTATGGACACCAGTGTTTTTTTGAGGTGTCTGCCTTGTGAAGAACACATACTGTGAGATTAATTTCTGCAGCTCCACTCAGAGCTATGAACATCAGTGTTTTTAGCCACTTCTCACTGAAAGCAGCGTGCAAGGGGCTCTTTGCTCTTTATCCTCATCTACAATGAGCACGCTGAGATTCAAGATCTAGCACAAGGAAATGCTACCACTTTTGTTTCTCTCTCCTAATTCTCCATTCCTACAACTGCTTCAGACTCACCGAGTGATGGTTCTTCTCTTTCTCAGACTCTTCAATTTGTGCTTTTTATTTGGGCCCCCACTGGTGGCCAGTATTATTTACAGTACAATCAGACCACCAACAGACCCTAGAAAACAATTTCAGAACATGCCCAAGCCACTAAACTAGACATGCACTGCTTGTCACACCTATTACACTTCTATGAACCTGAACAATCCAATTCCTTAGCAACTATCTTCCTAACACAGTGAAGGCACACAGACCAAAATGAATCCTATTTAACTTTACACAGACAAGATACACCTCAGCCTGGGAAAACAGAGAGAAAGATGCCTAAGGAGATCAACTCAGTCTCCAGAGGGCTGAACAACTGGAGGTCATTAGCTTACACAAGATGGTAGATTTAAACTGCATCTGCAAATACATATTAAACCACCAGGTAGGGAGAATCAAACTTGTAAGGTATACAGTAATACAAAGTAGTATATTAAACACCCTTCATCATAAATCCAGTATTTTCTTTGTATTCCCATATATTCCACTTGAATTTTTCTTTTTTTAATTTTAGTATCTGTTACCCCTAAGTAGAAAGCACTTTGTTCAGAAAGAGACAAAATTAAACATATTAGATACCCAGGAACAAAGTGGTGACTCAACTCTACTACACACACGTCTTATAGCTAGACAGAATTGAAAGAAATCTTTCAAAAATGGGGCAAAGGCTCCTCTGACAATCAGCCAAATTTTTAATTCTCACTAAAACCACGGTAGTGCTAAGATTATTGAAAAAATAGAAAACATTTTTGAACACTGACAAGGCTATCTGTTTTCATTAGCTAGTCTTTTTTTTAAAGGAAAACAGAGTTCAAAGAAACAATTTTAATGAAACCCTCAAAATTTGGCTTGAGGCAGAAACCAAGAATGAAAAAACTTCCGTAGCTAGTAACTGCCAAAACTGTAAGCTACTGATAACTACAGATCAAAAGAAGTCAAATGGGAAGTCTGCAAGCAGTCTAAATGTGAAAGTTTTTCCAGGATCACCCTGTAACAGGCATACAATACACACACACACCCCCCTGTAAAATAGTATCTGGCATACCTGTCTGAAACAGTGCAGAGGGGCAGCTACTGATTCAGTCTCTTTCAGATAATCATCCCAATTAAACTGTTCTGGAAGACACAAGATAAATAAATACATATACACACTTATAAAACAAAGGAATTTACATTATATGAAAATTTGAGGAAAGAAAGGGACAGAAAACTCAACTATCTTGTAGAATACATTTTTTTCAAGAGCAGAATCATTCTCAAATGAAAACTCCACCTGTGAAATACATTCAGACCTTGAGTGAGCTTCAAAAATAATGTCAATTTACAGGATTGAACACACAATAGGTAAAATTAATATAAAACTTCCTTCAATTTTTGGGTTTTTTTGTGCTCCACATGCAAAATTATCTAGGTCACAATATCTAGATTCAATTCTCTGCATTAAGGATCTCCCAAGTATTCTTATATAAATCACATTATCCTTGCTGTATTATAATTCCCCTAATAGCAGGGTTGATATGATAACCTCATATGAGCACTAAGATGATATACATTGAAAAACACAGACACGTGGATACTATTGAAATTTATGTTATGAACACTATCCACTAGAAAGCAAGAAGATTAGCACAGCCTTCCAACTGCATCTTTGTCTCTTTTTATCTGAAGTCACATAAAGGTTTCTTTTTGTAGAATATCATGTAATATGGCAGAGATAGGCAAACATTATGGCAATATTAAGTAACAAAATCATGGTATTTTTTCCAGTGTTAATAGTGTTATTGTTTATGTGTAGGGGCAAGAGGATTCTGCACTTGATTTAATTAGTGTTACCAGTTGTGCATGAATGGAAAAATATGAAGTACCAACATCAAAGATACAAGCAAGAAAATTAATTATTTTAATAGAAAGTGTAAGAAAGAAGCTAGAATGGCACAGCTAATATTTTTGTTACTATATTATCTGAGTGAGCTCTCCTGCTTATTTTTCTTGTTTGGGCAGCTGGCATCTTTCTGAAGTTCCTGAAGAATGAAGCACTGATGAACCTAAAACGATGCAGTGATGCCACCCAGTGGCTCAGCAACAGCCACTCACAAAGCCTAATGCAAAATTCTTGGAGATGATGGAGAGCTTGCTCCAGGTGTGCCAGTAATTCTTCCAAAAACCCCACTGGGCACAGACACTTAAACACGTCTCTGCAGTTTTAAGGAGAGAGGAGAAGCAAAGAAACAATCAGAAAATGGCAGCATTTTACAGCACTTGCCACAGCTTCTCTGAAGGATGCGTGGTGACTCAAACCCAGAGTCTTCCTGCAGTAGGACAGCATTCAGCTGACAATATCAAGTGCCTCAAGCAAAAGGGAACCATCCCTTCAGCCTGCTGAGGTCCTGAGTTTTGGGTGAAACAGACTCAAAAGTGTACAAGTCAGTTTCCTTGCCATTCCAGAAGCCACTGCAGAAGCTTGTTAGGAATGTGAGAAGTTAGTAAAATGTCAAAAACTGTTAATTTGGTGGTCTGGAATATATGGAGGCTGGTAACAAAGACACTTTTACACAACATCTTGGAATTCCACCTATTTTGGAATGAAAATTTTATTCACACATTTATATATTTATATAGTAAAACTGATTTTGTATTACTTACAAAAGGCAAGAAACATTAACTTAAGCATATATTTGTATTTCAGAAAGGCAGAAATAGCTCTTCAGAGCTTTCCCCAGAAAGTAGCCTCCAGATTTGTTGCTCTTTTCATTAACAAGCCAAGGAGGATGCAAAAATTAAATATTATGACGTGATAGTTTTATCTTATAAAAATTCTTCTTGCACTTCAATAATAAACTGCCACTTCAGGTTGCCTTCTGATTTAAAAAAAAATTAATCAGCATTTACCTTAGTGAAGTACCTAATTCTACATAATTAAATCTAGTCAAAAGAAACCATTAGTGTGTCCCAACTGTCTCAGACCCAACATGATGTAAAAGCTGTAGTCATGCATAGCCTCATTGTGTTATGAACTGTACAAATACTGATACTTCAGTGACACCACATTTACCAGGACAAAGCGCTATTCACTCCTCAAAAAAAATTATATAGTAACATTTCCCAAATTATCTGAATTTTAGTAACAGAATGGTAAATTTCGTGGGGTAACCAAAAATATAGAGAGAAAGAAAGAGTTCTGTTTTTTCAAGGGAACATTTACTAGAAAAACACAGAAGGTAACAGAACATTTACTAGAAAGACAGAGAAGGTAAGCAGCCAGCTACAGATAAAGCCAAGAGGAAAATACTGCCTAGCTCTTTGCTTGAAATCCTGGCTATCAAAAGCTCTTGCATCAAGCAGAAATGTCCTGGAGTTAAAATTAGAAGCTCTCCACCTGTGAAGATACGCTGTATTAAATTAAGAGCCAAGCTCTCAGAGATGGTGCTAATTATAATTTAATTACTGCAGTTACAGAAATAGGAGACACATGTATGTTTGCAACATGTAAGATTCATCTCTAGAAAGATAAGCACATTGAAAAAATATCTACACGAAAGCTTCTCTGTATTCTCAGTATGCACAGGTAAAGAAGCAATTGTGTTATACATACTTCTAATTCTAAAGACCCTGAAAATATGCATCTTCTGACACTAGAAATCCTTACGAAAATTAGCTCATACTAAATAATTTAATGTGCATTTCTCTTCACACTCAAATCTGCAGGCTGAATAAAACAGCTTAAGAAAAGACCATTACGCAACAACCACAACTTTATAACCCACCAGGAGAGTGAAAACTAGAGAGAAAATGAAAATTTTATGCTGAAGAGCAAACCAGCTTATACTGGAAATGGAACAAAACAAAACCCAAACCAGAAGGTAACTAAAGCCTTTAGTAAATGAAAAAAAAAATCAGTTTAAAACATGCATAGGAGTGAGGCTCTTAAATAGTGATTCAAAAGAAGCAGAAATGGAGGGACTGAGTTCATGTTACAGTTGCTTGCATCACTGGCCCTGACCCATGGGGGTCAATGACCCTTGATGCTCTCTTCAATGCTGTATCAATCCCCTATCACCTCTTGTCAAACCTGCCAATCCCAAAGTAACTCAGTTAGAAGGGGCCTCAGGAGGTCTCTAGTTCAGCCTCCTGCTCCTCCAGGGTTCCAGCAGACTCAATGTGAAGATGTCCTCATCAAGGAGGAATTTCTTATGCCCCAGACAGTACTTGTCACTTCTCCTTCCACAGTGGCTCTGAGAGGAGCCTGGCTCTGTCCCCTTTCCATCCACCTGACAGGCAGCTGAAGACAGCATGACCATCTCCCATAGCTTTCTTTTCTTTTAGCTGAAAAAGAAACACTTCCTTTGCTTTCAGTACCAGTTTTTTGCGTTCTGACTCCTTCAATTTTTTTGCAGGACTTCAAGCCAGCCACTCCAACGCAGCAGAGCCTTCCTTGTACCGTGCAGCTCAACACTGAACGCAGCTCCCCAGAGAGAGTGTCCCACGTTCCCCAGAGCAGGGAACGCGTCCCGCCGGGGCGCTGCCGCAGGCTGCCTTTGCAGCGGGGCCCTTTGGCCACCAGGGCTCGCTGCTGGCCCGCGCTGCGCCGCGCCCGGCCGGGCCCAGGGCCGCCCATGCCGAGCCCGCTCCAGGCAGCCGCGCCCGCCCGCGCTGCTGAGGGAGGGCTCCGCTCCGCCGCGGCCCAGAAGGACTCCAGTCACCGCTGGGCCTCACCGCGCTCCTGCCATTCCATGTCCCCAGCGGGCAAGTCCATCTGAAGGGCAGCGCTGCCTTCCAGCCTACTCCTTCCCATGAGATGTTGCCCACAAACTGCTCTGGCCGTGTGTTCTGTAAAATCCTCCCCATTTGCCAGTAAGGCCTTAAACAGCATCAGCCCTAATACTGACCTCTAAGAAATGCCACTAGCTACCATCTGACAGGTGGTCCTCGCACAGCTTGACAGTCCAGTTAATTTTTCATCCACCTATCCAAACCACATCTCACCAGTTCGGCTGAAAGGATGCTACAGAAACTGTACAGAAAGCCTTGCTAAAGTTGACATGAACAACATCCATTGCTCTCCCTTGTTTCCAGAGTAACTAAGCACAAAAGGCAAAAATTAGTCATGCACGGTTCACACACTTGACAAATCTACCTCCACTGCTCCTAACCTCACTGTTGTCCTTTATTTGCATGGAAATGGTTTCCAGAAATATTTTCTTTATAGTCTTCCTGAAGACTTAGATTGGGTGGGCCAGCCTGTAATTCCCCAGGTGCTCCCATCTCATCCTTCTTGACAGTGAGTACTATCTGACCTTCTCCAGCCATGGTGAAACTTCCTCAATCACTACAAGTTCTCCAAAAGAGGCAAGAAGCCTCCTTGTGACATCAGGCCCCTGCCTCAGCACCCCTGGAGGTGCCACATCTGCTGCCATGAATAAGTGAATGCCTGGTTTGTTGAAGTGCTCCCCATCTTTTTTCACCATATATAATTCTCCAGTTTAGTGCAAGACAAAAGTTTTACAAAATTTTAAGTGAAGATTTAAACTACAAATTGTCACTTGCGGATTGGTAGAATTTAAGGTCCTGGTTTATTCAGGTTAATATAATACAGTATCACCATAGCCTACACACTGTTTGGGCAGATGGAACACGTCATATCTTCTCAGATCACCTCTAGGTTCCTTTGGCACCCATCTGAGACTTTGGACATGGAGATGCCGCTTTTCTAGTCTTCATCCCATAATCTTTCTTCATCAAAGATGAGATTTCCTTATAATTTTTGTTCACACACTCTTGCAAATACAGCAGTTTATGGGTAAGGTATTTCATACCTATTTCATACCTGCTTTATACCTTGTACCTCTTTCTACATGTCATGATCCTTCAATTAAAATTTTTCTCTTCCTCATGTCTTTCTCTACTTGCTTCAGTCTATTTTTTTAACCCATTCTTCTCAGACCTCTGTATCTCCTCTTCAACTTTTCCTATCATACATTCCCCTGGAAACCATGGAGACTTCCTAGCTGCTAGCCCAAAGCATTGTATGGCGTCTTCATCTAGCATCAAGGGGCTCCTTCTGCTCTTTGCCACCAACAAGCAACAACACAGAATAAAAATTATTTTATCTGTAGAAAATCAGAGATCTTGCAAGAAACTCCTCTCTGTCTGACAAAGCTGAGCCTAGATTTCATGGGGAAGTTCAGTTCCCAGACAAGAGGTTAACAGCACAGACCAAGTCAAGAACATGGAACACAGAATAAGGCTTGCCTGCTTAGCACTTCTTCCCCACAAAGCTTTTTCAACACGTTGCTCTCAACTGCAGGAGGAAGCAGGGATATCTTCCAGTGACTCATGAAATATGGTTATCTTATCCACTTATGAAGAGCACTTTGCTGGTGGGGGGGGTGTCTTACCACACTCTGTCATGTCAGACAATATTAATTAAAACAGACATACTGAGCCCAGTTTGACTGGAGCTTCTTTTACACTGCAGAAGAGGGAAAAAGAGACAAATATGCTTCCTTTTGTGGCTCAAAGTAACAGGGACAAATAAAGATGACAAGTTGCCTGCACAGGTTGTAGATTCTGTTCCTCTGGAGATACTCATAAGTTTTCTGGACACAATCCTGAGTAATGTGCTCTAGGGAATCCTGCTTGAGCAGCAGGTTGGACTAAGATAACCTCCAGTGGCTGTTTCCAACCTTACCCATTCTGTGATGGCCAGAATCCCAATAAATGACGAAATTAGCTCTGGTAAATGTAACAGCTGAAGGCTGCACTATGACTGGTATATTTTATGCACAATCAATTACCCAGCTAATATTTCAGTATCCTGGCATGCTTGATCAGTGACTATGCTACTTGTCTCCACTGGCACCCAAGAAGAACCAGACCACCTATCAGGAGTCAGACGGCACAGAAAAGTGAGCAGAGTGAGATTTTAAATAATTCAGTGTAATTTTTTCTTACTGTCCAAATTCAAACAAACAACGTGAACATGCAAAGCACATCTAAGGATGCTGCTGTTGTCTCACTGCAGCTCACCACAGAAGCCACCCTGACAGCAACCTCATGTATACACTGCCTTATGGCACCTGCTGAGCAGGCAGGTGTTGTAGAGGCTAAGTTAGCCAAGAACCTGGATCATTTCTGGTAAGTGTGCACTTTTCCTCAGTTTACTAAAAAACCCACAAATTCTGCTTTCAAATCAATTATTTAAAGTAAAATTAGAATCCTGAGCAACTTAACCCAGTTAGCAATAATCAAGACTGTTAAACTGAAAATCCTTCTTTTGGCACCAGGAAGCACATTAAGGAAATAGAAGGTAACTGCAGCAGAAAAGGCATGAGACTGAAAAATACATGAGGAGAAGAAGAGACAAATCAGTAATGGTTTAAAAATAATAAAGTTTACACAGCATCTTTGATTATACATACAAAGAGTACTTATTTGGCTAGTAAAACTAGCAGGTTCAACTCAAGCAGTTTCAACCATCACTTTCTATATCAAAACATACTTGCATAACAGCTAGACAAAAGCAAAGGTATGTTTTTAACTGCCCACCATAATAACCCAAGAGATTCCAACAAGAAAAATAAGCCAGAAAACAGTACAATCCAAACACACACTTTTCCTTTTAGAGTACCTTAACTAAGAACCTGACAGCTGCAATACCTACCACTTTTTAAAGATGGGTTGTTTGCCTGCTGATTCTTTCCATCTTTCTCTTTTTTAATATTCTTTGAATCTAAAAGACAAGATTCCATTACATAATAAATATAATATTCACATCATAATGATGTCTAGCATAACACAGAATGCTTTCAAACAATACAGAATATCTTGTTGACTTTTATTCATTTCAGTACATAATCAAAAAGGTATGTAAATTTAATCACCACACTATTTTCCCTTCAAAACATACTGAAAAGTACAGCATGAAAAAAACAGAGCTTTTGACTACTTTATATCAATTATTAGAATGAACCTAGTTGCAGAACACAGAATATCAGCTCCACAGACAGCAATCCTGTCCCATTTTTAAATAGTTTTATTTCAACCTACACAAAATTTGAGATCCCAAAGACCACTGGATATCTTTGTATATCTGGTTATACACAGATCACTGTGAACTGAGAAACAAGGAACAAAACAAACCCATCCTAAAACCACATTGCTGAGTTAAAGAGTTCATTCCATATTGAGATTCTTCAATACTCAATAGTCTCAATATAAAATTCTCAAATACTCAAAGCAGCTATCTCAGCAGACATGAATTATGTAAAAGAATCACTCAGAAGAATCTACCTTTTCTATCATTAATCTTGGCACACGCTTAGAAAGGGGTTTGCCATATTTCATTTTTGATGGATTTCAGCTTGTATGAGAAATGTAGGAGAACTGGGCAGCTATAATGGAGAAGACTGAGAGAGACAGTTCCACTCATTCCTTTTAAAATACATTGTTGGTGACCTGCTTTTGACACTCATGGACATGAGTGCAATTCAAATACGAATTTGAATTCACAACAAAAATGCAAGTACATTTTCAGATCTAAAAAGCTTTTTTGTTTTTACCAAGATCTGCATAGGAGAATAACTCTCTTCGTCTGCAAATGCCTCATTACTGGGAAATGTGGCTGCTCCTCGAGTTAGGGTTGTGCCTGGCTCTTACTTTGGGCTCTGAACCCCACTTAGCCTGAACTGGTACAGGTGAAGGGAAGGCTCACTTTTACTGCAAGATTCCATTAGTAGCTGTATTCACTCACTTTTAAGTCTACAGCTACTGATTGGCTTGCTCTTGAAATGAAAGCACTCCTGACCTAGAATGTGAAGCATTTGGTGACAGAAACACTTGAAATACAATGAATTGTTGTGCAGAAAAGAATAAGCCCTAAACGTGTTTCTTTTCTGTAAGTAAAGCATTTTGTGAAACATACTGACAAGCAACGTGTGCTGTTCAGCACTTCCATCTCACATCCTTCATTATCAGGAAATTGCCACATAATGCAAGAGCTGAGTCATGACAGACCTCTGTCACCAGTCCCAAATCCTCCCCTAACACTCAGTGAGGAGAGGATAAGCCATCCACGTGGCTCTGTGCTTGGCAGGATGAGAGCTCCTTTGGTGGGAGCACAGCAATGGCCCGGGCACCCCTGGGGGTGGCCAGGCAGGGCCTCGCCATCCAGAGCCACCCCATCACTCTGTCCAGGAGCCACCAGGGGGGTGGCACTGTGGGCAGCCCCAGCACCGGGGGCCATCCCAGGAGACAGGCTGGGGCTGGGATGGGACATGGGGCCATGGGCAGGGCAGGTGGAGGCCCCAGGTCAGGCAAGCCTATTTGTTTACTCAGGACCACGACACCTTCCAAGAATAATCCAGACCTCACAGTCCTACAAAATCAGTGCACAGCTTACATAACTGCTCAAAATATACTGCAAAAATACCACCCCTTACTCATAAAGCAGACCCAGGCAGAACTCCAAGTCCTCTGAAAAAGAAAAAAAATGCTATGTTTACTCCTTGACTTAATCTTCGTTCTTGACTTACATGCTCTTTCTTTTGGAAGAAGTTTGCTTTGGAAAATTTTCTATTATATAGATTCCTGAAAAAAAATGCTTATGAAGATCAACTTCAGATGGAACTGATGAAATTATTTGGGACAGTGCCTACAGAATATAACTCCAATACCTTCTCTTAAAGCAGTAGGGCTTTAAGCCATACAAGTAGATACCCTACAACTACCTGTGGGACTCTCAGAAGGGATAATGCTAAAACTAGTTCAGTAACACTGAAAAGATGCAAGGCTAATGTTCACCTTCTCCATCCTACATCCTATGAAAATGTATTTCATCCAGCCTTTTTGGGGTTGAGCCGAATCCAGCCAATTTTCTACTGAGAGGTAGCAATCAATGGCAGGACCTTTTGCCACATTCTACAACCTTAGTCAGTATTTCCCACAAACAGTCATGGTACTAAGGCAGACATCAGGCTATCAGCCTGCAGAATAAGTAACTTTCCAATCTGACTATGTCCAAAAAGGAAATCAATAAGTTTCTTATGTGGAACTCACGAATAACTGCTTCCTGCAAACACCCAAAGCTTAAAAAGACAGAGTCATGAAAGAGTATCTACCAAACAGTGTTAGATTAAAAACAAGATGACAGCTTTTCATGATGAGAGACATCAAGAACAGGTGAATGTGAAAAACTGCAGCCTGGACACCACATGTGTTCTTGCTGACAATCACTACATGGATTATTTATTCCTTGTACCAGCTAGCTTTAGTGCCTCTTTCAAAAATATCACAGAAAATATGAATGTTGAAACAAAACACTCTTGGCAACTTATTTTTCATATCAGCCATTAGAAAACTACAGGAAAAGAAGAGATGATTAATGAGAAGTGGCTTTCTCAACAGCATTTTTAACAATTATTTCATATGAAGTGGAGGCATTTTCATTCACAGTAAACACAAAGCACTGCCACTATCACTTGTTTTTGATGGTAGGAAATCTCCTCTTTAAAAGGCACAAATAAATCTCACCCAGCATATGCAGAAGCATCCAAGAATAAGTCTGAATAAAACCAAGATTGCTTTCAAAGGATCCCCTTGCTTTTGCGCATTCCAGCCTTCATCAGTGGGAAGCTGGGAATACCATTACCAAGCTGGTGTGTTTTGATGCAAAGCTATAGCAGGAATAATTGCCAACCTGTTTCCACATCAGACACCCTGCATCTATCTACTGCCACCTCAGAAACCTTCCCCCAGTCTGTATTTCACAGTCACTGCTTCACTGTCTATATTTCCCAGCCTCATTCAGATGTGCTTTTTCCAGTGTTGGCAGTTAGGCTGGATAAAAAACTATGGTTTATTTTCAAAATAATGATAAAGAAAGATTTGATTAAAAACCAATTTTATAAATATCAATATTTTATAAACACATAGAGTTTTTTAATGCATGCAAATCTATATTTGAAATTTTGATATTCTATATTTTAACAAATTTAGCTTCCAAAGATCACAGAAAAAAAAATTAAAACAGAAGACTGTTATTCAAATCACTGGGCTCAACAAGATGACTCTCTCTCTGCACATGATCCTCAGCTTAGTCAAGCTTTGAGGTCAAACCTCAAAAAATGAGGTAAGACATAATGCGAAAATATGAAAATGAAAGACACAATATGTACCTGTAAATAATTGTATGGGTACAAAGAGTATTTTCTTTTCATCTCATTGCACATTCAGCTCCTAGCCACATTCAATGGCTAATTCCCTGAAACCTGAAGAATTGACTTGAAAATAAGAACTGTATTTATATATTGGAGACAGAAAGTCAGAAGTCCTACAGTCTTGAAGTACATAGTAACAAAAAAAATTGGTCAGCTTAATTCATCATCTGTCTTCCCCTGTCCATTTTTAAAGAGAAAAGTTTCAGCTTATTTCTCAATGTAAAACACAGTATGTGGTAGATCATTTGCCAAAACAAGAGTTAAAATGAAATTTTGGTTAATCAAATGGACTTAATCAAATGCTACTCAGCTCTCTAAGAAAGCAATGAAGAACAAGATACCTATTTCAAAAAAAGTTTTGAAAATAGAGTAATACGTATATGTACACAGCATTTATATATTTGCTATGTATTTATATATATTTAGCCTTCTACATGGTATTTTATCTATACCATATTTGCTATGTATTTATATATATTTAGCCTATACCACGTAGAAGCTAAATACCCTATGAAAGATTTTTTTCTTCTAGGGCAGCAAGATTAGAGTACAGCATATACTAAAATTTTAAAAGCAACATATTCTATTGTTCACCAACAATTTATTTTCTAGAGTGCACTTCATAAGCTAAAGCTTTAGATACAAGTCAAGATTAGAGTAAGATTATTTAACACAGTACTTTCTGCTTACTGATTCAAAACTCTGTGTGTTTACATTATTCCCACCCTATCTGTAACCACAGAATTTTGCTGATAAGATTAACAGAAGACAGGCAAGAGCAACCACATCTATCATTTAAGAAATTAGAGACAAAGGGGAAAAAAAGGAGAAAGCTAACCTGACTGACTTGTGAATACCAAATAAAAAAAATCAGAGAAGGCAGTGGTAAAGCTCTAGGCAAAGATAATCCTGGTGACCAATGTGTATTTCCTCTTACAAGCCCTCATACTGAACACCAGTTTCTTGCCTGAGAAGCTCTAAAACTTTGCAACTTCTTTCTAGAAGACTTAACCTTTCAACAAACTAGATGACTGTTTTTTCTAGGTGACGGCAAACATCATGTCTTTTAACAGCAATAGTTTTCATCCCAGAATAGTGTGCTACATGTAGGGCAGGCATGTGAAGACTTATTATTTCCTCGTTGTCCACTGTGGGGAAAATGAAGTTCACAGTCATGCTTTCAAGACTTCTGTAGCTATCCCTTAGCCACCTTGATGTCTTCAACTCTTCTAGGTCTTCAAAGCATGGCAGGACACCACTCTTCTCAAAGAAACCCCTTGTCTTTTCCTGATGTATGCGAAACACCTTTGGGTGACAAAAACTTTTGCTCTTCCCATGTCACACAGTTACTCACACTCAAATAAAGTTTACTAAAACAAGCCCAAGACTTACCATTGCTCAGGAAGAGGCCTTCTTCTCACTGCCTACTACACAAGCCTGAGGGCACACAGTTGGGGATATGCAGACAGAGTAAATATGAAATTTCTCCTTTCCTTTCTTTTTGTGCTTCCCTAGCAGGATTTTTGTCTTATCTGCTTGGAACAGCCAGTCTCTTTGACTATATTTAGACAACAGCCATGCAGAAAACCTACAAGAGAAGGGGTCAGACTTCCTCCATAAACTCCTGGTGCAACAATTAACTGGATGGCTCCTGCCATTACAGAAAATCTATTCTAGCAGAAGACAATTATTTACCAAGGGAACACACAAGCACATAAAGCAGCTTGGGTTGAAGGTGGTAAGCTGAAGTAAAGTACAAAAGTGCTAGTAGCCTTATATGGAGGAGGACTACTAATCTGAAAACTTCCAAAGCAGCAACAACATGGTTTCAGAGAGTGGATCTTTTGCTTTTCATATTTTTTTTTTTATCACCAGCCCAAACACTCTTGTTTCTTCCTAAGTCTCACTCTCTATTTTAGTTCTGAACTCACAGTAAACATCTGCAGACATGACACAGCAGAAATCACACTTCTGCGGTACACCATGTACTTGTGGATTAATTTCTTTTAAAATGTTCATTTTATCTTCAAAAGACAGTTGCTAATGTCATTCATTGTGATAAAATTTGATTCTTTGTACTACTTAGTTATTATCCTGCTAATAACTCCAGAATAAAGCCCTACATTTTATTTAACAGCACATCTAGACACATTCCTCAATTTCAGAGTGCAGTAATGATTTCAAGGCTGTCACAGGACAGAATTCTTAACATTAAACTTGTAGAACTCAAGACAGCCAAATTTAGCATATGTATTCTAAAACAATGTGAAGTTTGAACTTACCTGTATTCAGAAGGTATCACAAACTGTCTTCCTTAATCTAACAGTATGGTACATTGTCGTGCTATATCCCACCAGCTCCAAAAAGAGAATTTAGCAGGTTCCCCACTTTCTTTCCTCTTGAATTAAAGCTACCAGGCCTTACCTTTCGGTGCTGTTCTCCCCATGGTAACACTTCTGTGATCTCCTCTCTCACAATAAAAAGGCTGAAGTTGAAAGACCAGTTAATTCTTCCTTTCAGCACAACAGTTTCCTGTGGAGCAGTAATACAACAAGTTAAGGGGGGAGGTTGTTGTTGGCATTTGGGTTTTCTTTTTTTGGAAAGGATGATTTTTTTGTTTTGGTCTATGATTATCTTGCTGGTTTTAAATTGCAAGTGTTTAACAAACTATTTGTAGGAGAGTAGTATGAAAACAACAGTTAAATAAAAGTAGCAAAAATACCAAATGCAAACTTTCATTTCCTTGTTTTAGACAGTTCATTCTCTAATGATTTGCATTTTCTGTGGATTTCTAAAACAAAGAAAGATATAAAATGTGCTTTATTCTTTTTTCCCCCCAAGAAACATTACTCAAAAATGGAAGACTCTTTATACATAACCTACTCATCCTGTCTCACTTGCACAGAGTTAAACAATCATCAACTTCAATACCTCTGGGTAAAACACATTATCTTGCACAACTACAGTTGAAGAGGGAACAAAAAACTAATGTAAAAAATCTGTACAAGGCCCAAGTGCTCACTGATACTCCTGCCCCATGATTTGTAACAGACTTGTAACAGCACACAGGGAAGTGTTAGGGAAATGCTAACTGCAGATAAAAGCAATGAGCCACATTCTTGTCAGGGTTAGAAACTGGAAGGGACAGATTGGTTAAACTAGTGCAAAACAGCAAAAACAAGCTTTCTTTTTTGTGTGTGTTACTGTGATTTTCTACTCCAGCATCTAGTATTTTGAACTTTGACGGTATTCAAGTTAAACTCATTTCAAGCATCTAGCCTGGAAGCAACAGAGCCAGCAAGTTTATTGTCCTTCTCCATTAACTTTTCAAGTAACAATGGGTAAATACATTCAAATTTCTGAATTATGTTCTTGGATAATTTCCTTTTAAGCAACTTCCATGAGGTTTAAAGCCGACATCACCAAAAACTTGAGGAGTTTTTTTTTTTAATTTATATATGTGCATACTCTTTCCATGATTAATTTTGTCAAAGGTAACATTTTTAGAAGTTACATCTTCCCACTGCAACATAAAAGAAGTAACAGCTGAAAAGCAGGTTATCTACTTGGAATTTCTTGACTCTTCTACTCACATGCAAAAAAAAAATAAAAATCAAAGTGCACATATATATCACATACAAAAAGAGAAGTATCATACAGCTGAATATTTTTCTGAAACTGTGATCCTCTACTGAAACTTCAAGAAACTTCAAAGCACTATGATGATGGACTGGATGATGAAAACTTTATACAGTGCAAGACCATGGCTAAAGCTAATTAAAAGTTTTTTTTAAATGCCAGTGGTTGATAAATTTATTTCATGTGTGTGTTGTCTGTGAACATGCTGGACAGTTATTACAAAAACTCAAGACTGAGACTTGAAAGGAGTTATAAATAAAACTGAATACTACCATAAAATAAGCAGGTTTTGCCACACAATAGCATTCATAGTATAAGTGATCATCAAGATTAAGAATAGAAATCCTTTTAAGCCATCAAATAAATTTGAAATACTTTATACTTTCACAGACTCCCCCAAAAATTCAAAGCTTTTTCACTGCAAGTAATAAATCATGGAAGGTGATGCAGAGTCAAAGTAACTGTTTTTACAGATTACTTTAGAACAGCGAATGGTTTTTATCTTTTTGTTCCAAGTACCAGATTGCACTTGGTGCAGTAATAAAGATTCCAACCCTGCAGTGATAGTCATCAAGTTTAGCACAACCGGAGCGTCTGTGAGAACATAAAAAGGATTCCAGCTTTTCATTAGCTTGTGTTGTACCAGATAGGCTGTTTTACAGCATGCCCACCAGCCTGTTAAAAATATAAGACAACCGAAAGTTCTGAAAGAGCTGTTTGAAATGAGGCAAATCCAACTGCAGGAACACCATATATTACTGTTTCAAAGAGGTGCTACTTAGAACTCAGTTACACCTAAGTATTCAATTTAAAGCTGCTATTAAATTAGCTCATTGATTGTACTGTTTGTCACAGAAAACATTCAGGAACGGCACTTCTGAGCCTCTGTCTAACAACCACTACACGTTGCTGAGCCACAGCAAACTTAAAACCAGCTACCTCAAATACAGGGTAGGGTCAACCTGAAACAAAGTGCAACTTCTGCAGGGGCAGATCTAGGAACTATTTTCCATCACCTCACATACATAAGTGGCAAACCCTAAGCAAGGCAGTTGTGTCCTTTGCAGATCTAGGAACTATTTTCCATCACCTCACATACGTAAATGGTGATTTAAGCAAGGCAGTTGTGTCCTTTTCTAACCAAGACAGAGTCCCTTATACTGCACTCACCATCCCCAGCCCGGCTCAACCCACAGTGCACCCAACACAGAAAAGAAGAAAACCACCAGCAAACACAGGGAAAACACCTCTAGGCACATTCTGGTAAAATTACATAGCAAGGACAAATCTCAAGGCATTCTTGTATGTGTGCCTTGGCAAGCAAGCTGACTGAGAAAGGTAGGGTTAAGAAATTAATTGAACAGCTTCTAGAAATGAAGGGAAAAATTAAACAAAACAAGGTCAGGAATATATGAGCAAACAAAGAAATGCAATGACAAGAATGAAGTGCAGTGGCATTAGAGTACACAAAACAGCAAAATGAAAAGCAAAGTTATAAAGACTGAGATAAGCACAGAGGTTGTCAGTCACAGACAGAAAATGACCAAAGTATTTAAGGGACTCTCAGTACAGTATCCAGTGAGAAACCTCTTGCTGCAAATTAAGGAAAATGCAAGGGGGAACAAAAATCCACAAACCTAGGATAATATTGGATTAATCATCAAAATGTCTTCAATCCAAAGAGCACTCAAAGGATATCTACACTCCTGAAGTGTATTATTTACAGCACTTATGTTTCAATTCATTCTGTAAACTGAGTTTTAGTCTTTCTCTGATTTCCATCCCTTACATGAATTCCTTTTTAAAAATCTGATGGAAAGCATTTATCTGACTTTTATGCCTTACTGAAGTTTTTACTGTTAATCCCCAAATCATTTCTACTAGCCACCACCCACTGTGCAAGCCCTTAGTCAGAAAGCATTATATTAGCAGACAAGCCTACGTCTTTACCTTCTCTGCATTGCTAGTACATAATACTAGGTGTCAAAAAACAGGATGGATATCATTTTTCCTGCCTAACTGCCTAACTTTTCTCTTTGTGTTTTGAAAGAATTATTCAAAGGGCATGCATTGCTGCATTTCCAAGAAGGTATCATTCTACAGAAAATGTCAAAATTGCTCCTTCTTTTGCCTGCCATGCATCTCCAATATCCTTCTCACTGTTAGCCAGGCATTCAAGTAAGCCACATGTCCTGAAAAAAATAGGTATGCATATCTTGGGCTTCCCAGTGCAAGTTTATCTTGACAGCATGCCTGCTCATAAAAACACACAACAGAACTATGGAGATAAACACAACATTTAAAAGAAGCTTAAGCAAAGAGGAGAATTGTGGGTTCAGTCTGCACAAGAAAGATTCAGGTTTTTCTCTCAATGACTCTGCATCTAAGGCACGACAAGAGCCACCAATTTTAGAGCCCATTCACTTTTTTGGCCCTACCAGTAGCAAAAATGCAGTAACTCAGACCTCACCATTGGCATCTTCATGGGTGGGACAGTTGTCAATGGGCAATCTCTGCTGGATAAGGACTGAGACTATTCTTTTACACAGATTCACTTCACTGAGGAGGAATCTAACAAAACAGCCACTTGGAAGCATCAATGAAGTTCTCAGTTTTAGCTTCAAATAAAGGCAGATATTTTTCAGGCTTAATGTGAACAAGGAATTGTATTTGCCCCTTTTTTTCTTCTACAAATGTTTCAATATTAAAATCCCATATGCAAGGGTGAAGAATAATTACACACAGTTTAAACAGCAAAACCAGTTATAGACAGAAAATAGGTACAGTATAAGCCAAGAAATACTTCCCCCTGCCAATGCTGTCATTTGTACAAATCTTACATTTGCTTTCCCCACCAGCATTCATGCACTATTACATTTAGAAACACAAGACATCAGCTACAACTGCTGACCACGCTCCCTGCTCCTCTCCTCCCTGCTGTTTGGCACTGCCAGTGCTGCAGAGCCCCTCAGGGAAAGGCCCTGTGCAGCCTCCTCCATGGACACACAGTCCAGCAGGCACAGCTCCCACTCCAGACTCCACATGAGGAACGTGCACCTACAGGCACCAGTCACTTCCCAAACCAGTGTGACCTAACTGTGTTACTTCAAAGCCATCCTTCATGAATCTGGAACACCTTTTCCTTAAACCTCATCATCCATCTACTCATCTGCTGTCTTTTAAAAAAAAACCCTACTTCATACCATTTTTAAAAGTCTTTAGGGGGCTGAAAAGAAGCAAACAAGGAGTAAAACTTAAAAGGATTTTTAAAATAATATACAGCATTAAATAAAATTTGCAATAGTTAAAAATAATTTCCAGCAAACTACCCAGCATATAGACTCATCCACTACACCTGAAGACACAACAACATACTTCCTTATTTCTGTAATAGAGATTACCTCTCAGTGCATACTGTGGCATCATTATGGAAAAGTAAGGTCTCAAAGGCTAAAGGAAGAAAAAATTACATGAATGTATCAGAACTTTAGAAAATGTAACAAAAGCCTCCTATTTATAAACTCAGTATTATTTAGCATTACACATATACGACTTTGAACCAAACATTAAAAATCAGGTCTTCTTTCTTCATTTATGCACATAAATACATAATCAGTCGGTGTTCTGACAAGAAATTTGATCTGAGATGGAATCCCTTTTAGTTCACATTCTTTGTATTTAAAAAAAAACAAAGAAGTTAAATTCTTTCAAGGAAAGGAAATTAAACTTCTGCATTTTCATACAGCTCAACCTTCAATAAACTGATATATCTGAACACCTCCTCTAGTCACTAAAAGCAAAGCTAGACAGATAGACTTGAATAAAATTCACAGGCTTTCAAACCAGCAAATATTAACTAGCCATATATATCATTACAACAACTAAGCCTGAGT